CTTCACTTGTGGCACCTACAGTATCAAGAGAGAGAAAATTATGGTTGCACTCGTGAGAAATCACCAGCCCCGTGCTCTTCACCTCTACTACCCCAGCTCACCTCAAATACTCATCCAATTCCAAAGGCTGCCTGCATGGCACCCACAGAATCAGAGAAATGCTTGATTGAGCTGCCACGTGATCACCTGCACTTAGACCCCAACCCGGCCAACAACCGCCTCACCTTCTCAGACCTCTCACTGGCGTGCAGTTTCACCCCTCCAAGACTGCTTGCGGCAGCTGCAAAAACCTAAGAAAAACATGCCGAGGTACTGCCCAAAACCACAGCCCGCCCACACCAATCGGCACATGGCTCATCCCTCTGTGTCTGCAGAAAACAGTATCAACAAATCACCCGATGCTGATTAATAGCTTAACAATTCTAGAGGTCTTGATTCCATTTAGGAATACCATCTAGATTCCAAGTACAGCCTGCCATTAAAAAAACAAAACAAAACAACACAATATTAAGCCCTGCGTATACAATCCTTAACATCTTTGAGATTCTAGCTATTCAACTACCACTCAAGCAGGCTCTCCCAGAGAGTTCCAGTAACCCCCTTGACACCCTTACCTGCTACTGAGGGTTACTTGCTCTGAGCTAGACTGTACAGTCTGTCACTAAACAGTCTACGCATATCATTATTAACTATAGACTATTAATCTTATTCTTCCCCTGACTAACATTGTGTCCTGGGTTGAGTGAGTGGTGGAGTTTTTTGGTGGCAGGGGAGGGGGCTATCGGGGCGGCCCCCTGTGAGAAGCTTCTCGAAGCTCCCCCAGCTCCACGTCAGCTCCACTTCTGTTTGGGAAATTGAGCCAATCGGCTGCGCCTCTGCGATAACGTATTTAAGAAGGGACGTGGTGACGGGCAGTGGACTTGTGAGGAGGAGTTGCTGCAGCTGCGAACACCAAGGTCAGTGGAGGAACGGAGGAAGAAAGGAGGGGGGAGGTGTGCCAGAGCAGAGACCCCCCTGTATCCTGTGGTGAGACGGCAGGGCGGCCCCCCCCTGCCACCCATGAAGATCTACGGTGGAGCAGACATTGATTTGTGGCCTGTGTTTTTCACCTGGTTGATCAAGGTGCTGTGCCCAAAGAAGGCCAGGGTCCTGTGGGAAAATGTAGACCCCGCTGTTGTAATTGGGTGCTGGGAGGATTGCAGCATGCGGGGGTGTCCCACGCCGGAGCAGCTCGGGAAGGGCTGCAGCCATGGGAGGGAATCCAGTTGGAGAAAGTTGGTAACCCACAATGGAGCAGTGTGGGTAACACTGTGGCCCGTGGGAGGGACTTACGTCAGGGAAAGTTTGTGGAGGACTGTCTCCTGCGAGAGGGGGACCACGCTGGAGCAGGGGGAACAAGTTCCAGAAGCTCCCCCCACCAAAGATGTAGAAAGTGGCAGCACTGACTGCACCCCCCATGCCCTGCCCCGCGCTACTGGTGAAGGAGGTAGAGATATCGGGAGCAGAGCTGAGCCCGGGAAGAAGGAGGGGTGGGGGGAAGGTGTTCTCAAGATGTGGCAATGCTTCTCACTGTCCTACTCTGTTACATGTTGTTAGTGTCTGTAATAAATGTATGTTCTTTGTTTTCTTCCCCTAACAGTCTGCTTCTTGCTCATGACCATAATGGGTGATCTGCCCTCCTGGTCCTATCTCCAACCCCAAGCCTGGCTCAACAGTCCCTTCTTATTGCCAGAAGAGAAGGGGGAGAGAATAGCTGTGTGGTGTTTGGCTGCCGACCAGGCTCAAACCACGACAGCGGGGTCGCTGGTGAGGGCAGCGGCTCCAGAGCAGGCAGGGGGATGCCGAGGGGCAGTGGGAGCAGGGAGGGCAGGCTGAGCCCCTCGGGGTCCCCCCCACAGGCAGGTGGGTGCTGGCCCATGGCTACTGAGAAGGGCAGCGTGGCCAGGAGGAGGCCAGGTGGCAGGGAGCCCCGCAGTGCCAGTGCCTGCTCCTGACCCACAAAGGCTACAGGGGGTTGCAGGGGGCAGTGGGCAGCCCTGCGCCCCCAAAGCACCCCCCTCTCCATTACTGCCAGCCCCACAGCACTTTGGGGACACCTGGAGAAGCTGCAGCACCTGGAGGGGATGGGTCAGAGCACAGGGCTGCCGCGGCCGCATCTGCTGCAGGCTGGTGGATGCAGCCCACCGCATCCCACCAACCACTAGTATGAACCTACAGCCACCTCCCACCAGGTCCCACCGCATCCTGCCAGGTTCACCATCACACCCTGCCAGGCCCCACCACGGTGGGCATCCCAGTGCATCCTACCGCCTCCCACAATGTGCTCCCTGGGGGTACAGACCCCCCCAGCACCACTGCTGCAGCCACCCCAAGGCACTGGATGTCCCCAGCCAATGGAGGGGCATCTGCCACAGCCCTGCTCCCCACCAGCTGCCTGGCCCCACAGGCATTGCCCCACATACCTGGGCTGCCCTTACGGCCAGAGGCTTTCAAATGCGGGGAGGTCCCTGAGGTGGGATTGGAAGATGCTGCCAGCTGCCCGAAGAGACCTGGGAGCTGTCTGCTGAAGTTCCGGCCGGCAGGCAGGAGCCCAGTGCCAGGGCAAAGCAGGCTGTTGGTGGCAGAGAGGGGACCCAGTGGGAGGCTAGGCACCCCCCGGCTTCCCCCCCAGGCAGCCCTGAGCACCCAGCAGGCTCAGCAGGCTGCCTGGTCACCGAGGGGTGCAAACCTTGGGGCTCGAGGGCACCCTGAGAGCTTCCAGGTCCTGGGGCTCAGGGCGCCAGGGCCACTGGGCCCTCCTGCACGGGGCCAGCTCACCCATGAGAGACAGCAGCATGCCGGGAAGGAGAGGAAGAGGGGTAAAGTGCTCGGAGCAGGTGTGTGGCCAGCCTCAAAAAGCCCCTGCCCTTGGGGACAGCACCTAAGGACACTGGTGGTTTATCGCTGCTTTGGCTGGTTAAGGCATTTCTGCCAGGAGAATCAACCTGACCAGCCTGGGGGCACTGCTGGTGGCCAGCAGGTGTGGTCCCGGCCCCCCCGGCTCTGGTCTGTCTCCAGTCACCCCCAGTGACAGGGCTGCCCAGCTGCTGGTCCTGCCTGTGGGGGGCTGGCACAGGGTCAGGGGCACCGCAGGGCATCGGGGGGGGGGGGGGGGGGGGGGGGGGGGGGGGGGGGGGGGTGGTGTCACCACATCTGGTGGGGGGAAGCGAAAGGTGGCAGGTGGGTGGCTCTTGGGGCAGCCGTTGGCCCCAGGGATGATGCTGTGGGGCTGCAGAAAGGGTGAGGTGATGATCCAGGTCCCTAGGGGGACAAATGTGGCCTCCAGGGTCTTCGCCCCCCAGGGAAGCTGCCGACATTGCTTGGGGTCATGGCCAGGGGTACCCCTCTGCCAGAACAGTGGGCTTAGGCCAGGACCTGTGGAGAACCACAGGGACACAGGGGTCAAGCGGGCACCAGCAGAGATTGGGCACCCTAAAGTGGGATGGATTGGGAAGGCAGGTGACAGGAAAGATCGGGGGTGGCAGGATGTGACAGAGAAGATGGGGAGCCCTAGGAAATGTGGGAAAACCAGGAGGGCACTGAGGGGACTGGGATAGGTGGCGAGAACCCAGGAGGTACAAGGGGGACAGGAAGGGTTTGGGACTGGATGGACGTGACCAGATGATGTATGGGGTGACATACTGGCCACCCAGACCCCCCCCGGCACCTCATGCATGTTGAGTGGAGACTAGAGGCCACACTTGCAGGTCCCACCAGCCAGGAGGGAGCCGCAAGTCTGCTGCAGGGAGGTCAGCGCGGTGCTGCTGGGGCTGGGGAGCACGGGGCGGGGGTGGGGGGGTGCAGGGGACAGGCAGGGTGGGGGGATCGGCATCTGCTCCTCCCTGATGTAGGACACGGAGCCTTCCTCCACCTTGTGCTCCCAGCCCAGAAGAACGGGCCGGCCGGTGGGCACGCAGGTTGGTCTGTGCTGGTTCCAGTCATCGCCACTGATCATCGTGCCCCCGCGTGTCACCCCAGCACCTGCGGCAAGCGGCATGCTGGGAACCCCCCATGAAGCAAGCAGGGCAGCAGCACTGGGGATGCCAGGGCACTGGGGATAGACTGGGGGGGCCAAGGGGTGCTCAAAGCCATGAGGCCACAGGAGTCCCCAGGGGGGTGCCGAGGAGCAGGACCGTGGGGGGCTGAAGGTGCCCAAGGGAGCAGAGCAGGACTGGGGGCACCAGCTGCCCCCCACCTTTTGTCAGCCTCCCCCTGCACCACCCCCCCCGCCCTATTAATCCTGGTGTCTGGGCAGGAGGCGAAAGCAGCGACCCCAAAACGCCTTCGAGCAACCGCAGCTAAAAGGCTGATCCCCAGCGGAGGGGGGCCGGGAGGCAGCATCCAGGGAGGGCCCTGCAGCTGAAAGGGGGGGCAGCACCCGGGCAGCCGGACACCTCCTCCAGCCGTACCCCCCCACCCCCGGCACCCCCAGGCTGTGCCTCTGCTCCCTGCAGTGACACACACGGGACCTCCCCTCAGAACGCGTTCAGGGTGAGGGGCACAGGGGTGGCATAGTCACCGCAGCCCCCCCACTTTGAAGGTGGAGGGGGAGGCGCAGAGGGCCGAGCCCCCAGCAGGATGGGGGTCACATCGCCCGGAGCGGGTGCGGGGAGGGGGGCAGGTCCCCCCCGTGGGTGGGGGGGGCCAGGCGCCCGCGGAGCGGCTGCGGGGACGGCGCCTGCGCTCAAGCCGGGGCGGCACCGGCCCCGGTTCCCGGCTCCGCGGTGCCCGCTTCCGGCCGCTCGCCCCCGCCCCCACCCCAGCCTTCCCCGTCGCCGCGGGCGCTTTAAGACGGGGCGGGGCCGGTTTCCAGCTGTTGCATCATCCTCCCGCGTGACTCACGGCAGGGCGGGGCGGGGCGGGGCAGCCAACTCCCCTTCCCTCCCCCCCCTCCTCCCCCCGCTCTCATTGGCTCCCGCCGCCCCGCGCGTCACGGCGCGGTGGGCGCCCGTTGGCTGCGGCCGGCGCGAGCGTTGCGTCAGGCGGGGACCCTTAAAAGGGGCGCGGGGCGGCGGCGGCGCGGAGCGGCGGGGGACGATGCGGGCGAGGATGAGCGGGGGGCAGCGCTGGGGCCGGGGCCGCGAGGAGCCGGGGCCGCCGAGGAGGGTGCGCGGGGGGGGGCCAGGAGGAGAGTCCTCCCTACCAGCGCGGGGCAGGCGGCGCGCTGCTCCCCGTACATCGCCCCGGAGCTGGGGCCCCGGGGGACACCCCCCCCCCCCCGCCTGACCCTGCCCATCTCCCTCCCCAGGCATCCAGGAGAAAGTGCGACCTAATCGACCACCACACCTGAGAGCAGGTAAGGAGGGGGCACCCTGGGGCTCCCCGCACCCGCAGCGCCCCGGAGCTGGGGGGTCCTGCCCTGACTTACACGAACACAACCCCCCCCCCCCCAAACCCCCAGCCCCACACTGGCCCGGAGGTGACAATGGCAGCCGGGGGGCTGCCCGCGGGAGGGCCTGGCTGGGAGCTGGAGGCTTGGTACCAGGATCTGCAGGAGGTGCTGGCAGCAGCAGAGCCCGGTGGACCCCCCCCACCCTGGGGGGCCGAGCAGGTGAGCTGAGCGGCTGGCAACGCCCCCCTGAGTGGCGGGGGGGGGCGCAGAGCACACATCACCCGCGCTGGTTGCTCCTCTCTCCCTGCAGGCAGAGCTGGCCCCGCCGTGGGGCACAGAGGGGGTGGTGGTGGCCCAGAGGGCTGTGAGCTGGACGCTGCCCTGGCTGCTGAGCTGCTGGAGCTGCTGGGGCCAGAGAGCGCAGCCCCCCCGGGTCTGCCCAGCTCAGCCCCCAGCAGCAGCCCCCACCCCAGCTGGGTGCCAAGGAGGATGAGGTAGGAGCAGGTGCGGGGCGCGGGGCGAAGAGGAAGAGGTGCAGCAGTGCAGCGGCCAGCAGAGAGCTGGCCAAGCGCCGGGAGCGAGCCAATGAGCAGCGGGTGCTCGAGCTGACGGCCCACAACGAGCAGCTGCGGGAGGAGATCCGGCAGCTCAGCACCGAGGTGGAGCGCACCCGGGCCGCCCTCATCAACCGCATTGTGAACCTCCGCCGGGCATAGCTGCTCCCCTCCCTGCCCCGGGACGGCCATGAACTGGAGGGGCACTGCCCCACTTGCACAGACTAATGCTGTGGGGAGGGTGCCACTTCCATACGCGACTGTACAGTTTTTGCATTTTATTACACACATGTAACCGCCAGCCAGCACAGCCCAGTCTGGTCTCTGGGTAGAACTGGGGCTGCTCCCCAGCACCGGGGAGCCAGGGGCTACTTCTTCCGCTTCCCCTTGGGCACAGGGATGTCGGGGCATTTGCCTTCTGCTAGCGCCAGCTGCTTCTTCAGCTCCAGCAGCTTGGCCACTTCTGCGTCAACCTGAGCCTTCTCTGCCTTGTTGGCCTTCAGCTGCCTAACGTGGTTGCCCTGGGATGGCGGGGGGTGTGATGTGATAAGAGCTTGGGGAGGTAAGGACCAGATAGGGCCAGCTCCCCTGCCCCTCTCACCTGCTTGGCTACCTCCTCTGTCAGCTCCTGGATCAGCTGGGGGTCACCCAAAGCCACGGGGGTCGCTGGGGCTGGAGGGGGCTCTGAGGGTGGAGGGTTCTCTTTGGCCTGTGGAAGGACAGAAATGGGCATGAGCCCTGGTCCCAGCCCCGAGACAGAGCTTTGCACCCAAACCCCTCATGCTGGGGAGGGGTGAGGTGCTGCAGCACCCCCGAGGCAGGGCCAGGGAATTCTGCTGGGCTCTACAGCAAGGTCTTTGGGAGAAGAGGGACAGAAAGCAGAGATCTCCAAGACAGAGGAGCTGCAGGGGCGTGCTGACGCCCTGACTCACCTGCCCTCCCCCGAAGCGCTTGCGCAGGGCTTCAACCTGGTCATTCTCCAGCTTCTGGAAAAGGGGGCTCACCTGGAGCCAGGAAGAAGGGTCACCCATGCAGGAGCCAGCACCCCCCATCCCACCAACGTGCTGTCCTGGGGGTGCACAGCCTGCCCTCCCTTCCCTCCCCCACCACCTACAGTGCCCACACGATGCCCGGGCAGCAGGGTGCAGGTGAAGTTGTGGCTCAGGACAAAGCAGTCGGGGGGGATGCAGAGCTGCTCCTGGATGGCCAAGCTGATGCTGGGCATGTAGGGCTGCAACATAACGGCCAGCATTGAAGCCATGTTCACCGCCACACCAGTCACTGTGCCCGCGCGCTCCCTGTGGGGCAGGAAACCCTCTGTCAGTGCTCTCCCAGCCCTGTCCTGTCCTCCCCTGCACCCCCCAGTCTCCCTACCTGTCCTTTTCATCCCCCTTGATCCACTTCCAGGGCTCGTTCACCTGGATGTACTGGTTGCCATGGCGAGAGATGCCGAGGATACATCTCAGAGCATCACGGATGCTGGTGGGGGGTAGAAGCAGGACTGAGCGCCTGCTGTGGGTCAGCCTCTGCCCTCCAGCCCTCCTGACAAGTCAGCCCTGTTGCAGCCCCAGGGTTTCATTTACCCACCGGACTTTCTCCAGCAGCTGGTGGTACTGGCGCAGCTCCAGGGTGACACGGGCCAAGAGCCGCTTGTCATCAGGTGTCAGGACCATGTTGGGGACAGTGCCACCAAAGAACTTGCACACAAACATGCCAGCTCTGGGGAGAGAGACAGAGCAGGCATGAGCACAGCCTCCTAGGAACAGAGATGGCCCCTGCCACCACCAGAATGTCCCAGAACCTGTTGATGAAGTTGCCCAGGTTGTTCAGCAACTCCGAGTTGTTCTTGAGCATGAGGTCGCTCCAGGAGAAGGCACTGTCCTGCCCCTCAGGCCGCAGGTACAGCAGGTAGAAGCGCCAGATGTCCGCAGGGATGCCTGTGTCTTTGGCCATGTCCCCAAACACTCCCCACACCCCGGCTCTTGGAAAACTTCCCATCCTCATAGTTCAGGTACTCTGGGGAGAGCAGGAGAGACCCCACCGTGGGGCCCAAGCATGGATCCAGCCTCTCCCAGGCAGGGAAGATCCCCACAACACAGATACCGTCAAAGCCTCGCACCAAGCTCAAAGGGGCTTCCGAGTAAAGGAGGGCAAATTCTGTGCCCATGTGGGACAGACTGGACTGTTTCCAGTACTGAGGGAAAACGGCAAAGTGTGGAGACCCCCCGATCCCTGATGACCCCTCAGTACCTGTAGCGATGAGATGGTTCACCAGGGTGTAGTTGTCATTGGCACCCAGGAGCGAGCAGGGGAATATGACGCTGTGGAATGGGACGTTGTCCTTGGCCATGAAGTTGTAGAGCTCAACCTGACAGGGAGAGGGAGGCATGGCGGGGCATCAGTGGATGCTGGCATCCAGCTCTGTCCCTACCTCCACCCTGCAGCAGCACCAGGTTCTTACCTGCTGTGGGTTCTTCCACCACCTCTCCCACTGCTCGGTGTAGTTGGCCGTGATGGACAAGTAGCCAATGGGAGCGTCAAACCACACGTAAAAAACCTGAGGGGAGAGCGATCCATGAGCAGGGGACCCCGAGGCAGGGCACCTGGGGACAGATGCTGCAACCGAGGGGCCAGGTGGGACTCACCTTGTCGCGGAAGCCATCAAGGGGCACGGGCGTGCCCCACTTCAAGTCACGGGTGATGCAGCGGGGTTTGAGCCCATCCCGGATCCAGGAGCGAGTGATGTAGCGAGCGTTGGCCGTCCAGTCCCCCGTGGCCCAGGACTGCTCCAGCCAGGGCTCCAGCCGCTCCTCCAGCTGTGGGGGAACACAGGGGGATGGTCTGTGGTAGCAGGGGGTCCCCCATCCCTTCCCCACTCCCCCAGGGATGAAGCCCACCTTGGGTAGGTCCAGGAAGAGGTGCTGGGTGGGTTTCACCACAGGGACACCCCTGCAGAGCTTGCACTGCGGATTCTGTCGGGAGAAAAAACATGGGTTGGAGGGAGTCCAGGATGAGGCTAGGTGTCCCAGGCAGAGCTGTGGAGTGTGGTTTGCGGGGTGGAGTGGTCCCCAAGGGACCCGTCCCACCTTCAGCTCCACAGCATTGATGAGTTTGCCACATTTATCACACTGGTCCCCCCGAGCCTCCACGTAGCTGCAGAAGGGGCAGGTGCCCTCCACGAAGCGGTCGGCCAGGAATCGCTGGCAGGCCTCGCATCGCAGCTGCTCTACAGTGTCTTGCAGCAGGAAACCATGGGCCAACAGGCGCTGGAAGATGTCCTGGGCAATCCTGGGACAGGAGAGGAAGAGGAGGGGGAGAGCTCCCATCAGCCAGGGAACCCTGGAGAGCCACAGAGCACCCTCAGCTGGGCACGCTGGGGTTCCCCCGAACATTCCCCAGCACGGGCCCCTCCATGTGAGCCCCTGGAGACACAGCGCTCACGCGGTCTGGTGTGGCGTGGTGGTGCGGCCAAAGTAGTCGAAGGAGATGTTGAACCAGCGGTAGATGTCAGCATGGATGGCGTTGTACTTGTTGCAGATCTCTTGGGGCGTCAGCCCCTCTTCCACTGCCTTGGTCTCAGTGGCTGTGCCATACTCATCTGTGCCGCACACATACAGCGTGTTCCAGTTCCGCAGGCGGCAGTACCTGCAGGCAGGGGCCCGTGACACCCAGGTAGGTGCTGGGGGGGGGCAGGACAGCCCCCCCACGATGTTCTCTCGGCCCCAAGGAGCTTTCCTGCAGCCAGGTCTCACCTGGCAAAGGTGTCAGCACTGAGGACGCAGCCAATGATGTTGCCGAGGTGGGGCACGTTGTTCACATAGGGCAGAGCGCTGGTGATCAGGACATTCCTCCTGCCCTCCACGGGCAGCCTGGTACAGACAGGAGCAGTCAGAGCAGGCACAAAGAGCAACGGGGCCATCCCACCCCAGAACGATGTGGCACCAGCCTGGGAGCCCCTGCCAGGCCCCTCGGAGGTCTGGGACGGCCAGCCCTAGTGTCATCTTGGGACTCACACGGGTTTCTGAGGCTGCCAGGGCTTGGGCAGTGCCGCAGCACCACGGGCCCAGGCATTCGCAGCAGCTTCGATTTCTTCCTCTGTCAGGGCACGCTCGGAACCTTCTTCTTCCTGCGGGGAAGGCTGGTGCCAGTGAGGGTCTGCACGCCTGCCACCACCAGCCCCCCAGAGGCCCATCCCTGGGCCAGGACTGAGCAGGGGGCCAGGGCTGCACCTCAGGCTCGTTACTGGTGGCTCTCTCCATGGCCAGGCAGGGCGGAGGCTGCTTCTGCAGGTAGGACTTGAACTCCAGCAACGCCTTGGGAATCAGAACGGAGTCAGCAGCTTTCCTGCAGGCCTCAGAGACTGTCATGCTCTGGAACCAGGTACTGAGCGCCTGCAGCCCACCTTGGGGGGCGGGGAGAGCAGCATGAATCTCACAGCCGTAGAAACACAAGGAATGCTCCCCCCCTCAGCACCCCCGTTTCGCTCTTACTTGGCAGGCTGGCCTCATCCTGGAGGACAGGGAACAAGGTGCCCCACACAACCACGTCCGCCACTGACTTGGCGTCCTGGGCCAGAGATGCGAGGTCAGGCCTTGGGGCAGCCCCAGCCCAGGCTGAGGGCTCTGCCTGCGGGCAGGCAGCAGCAAGCTCAGCTCCCCGGGGAGCGGGATTCCCACGACTCACCCCACGGTTCCACTCACCCCAGCAAGGTAGGCAGTGCCTCTCCTGGACAAGTTCTGCTCTATGTGGGCCAGCAACCTCCCTAGGGCTCCCACCGTCTCCAGCGCCTTCTTGCCGTGCACCAGCTGGGCGTACAGGGCGGCGGAGGCCGCAGGCTGGGAGCAGACAGAGGCGGAAAGGGATCGGGCAGGCCGCTGGCGGGGGGGGCGGAAGGGGACACACGCCGTACCCACCTGCAGCTCAGTGGCCTCCCACTCCAGCCACTGGTTGGTGAGGTCGGTGGGCTCGTCCCCGTGGGCCAGGAAGAAGAACCTCGGGGAGGCGGGGGAAGAAGGGGTGAGGCGTTGGGGCGGAGGAGTCCGGCGGTGCGGGGCTCCGCGGTCGGTACTCACTGGCAGATGGCGTTGGGGGAGAAGAGGGCGGTGCCGCTGTCCAGCTCCAGGACGGGCACCCACGGGCCGCGGGGCCGTCTCGCCGGGGCCGGGGGGTCCCCCTCAGCGGAAGGGCCACCCCAAACCAGCTGCACCGGGGCGGCGGCGGCCCCGGCGGCCGCCAGCACCTTGAGCGCGGCGGGGCCGCCGCCGCCACCCGCAGCCGCATGGCCGCGTCCCGGCCCGCCGCGCAACTCTCGCGAGAGCGGCGGTCGCCGCGGCGACGCGGGAGCCGGCCCGCCGGGGTCCCGCCGCGGAGCCGGGCCGTGATGTCACGGAGCGGCTGTGTGGCGTCACACCATCTGCCCCTGCCGCCCGTCCCGCCCCGGAGCGCGGCGAGGATCCGGACATCCCGTCCCGTCACATGGCCGGGGGGGGGGGGGGGGGGTGTCGCCGCCCCGCCGCCCCGGCACCAGCAGGTAGGTGGGGGGCAGCGGGGGGGGTCCCGCTGGGCTGGACCGGGGGGTCCCTGCTGGCACAGCCCGGTGAGCCGCAACACCCCCCCCCCCCCCCCCCGCCGGTGCTCAGGCACCGGTGGGAGAGAAAGCGCAGGGGAGCAGGGACGGGGGGAGGGACACACACAGCCGCGGGCTGGGGTGCTGCCCCCGCGGCAAAGCTGATGTGCAACCCCCGCGCAGGGTGAGTACCCCGGTTGCTCCCGCCTCACCCCCCCTCCTGCCTCCCCCCGGCAGCACGGAGCAGGCGGAGCCGAAAGACCCTGGGGGCTGAGCGGGGCCGCGGGCTCTGAGCCCTGCACTCATCAGTGCTCGGGTGGGGGGGGCAGGCAGGACCCTGGCACCCTCTGCCGACACCGATGGCAGCCCCTTGCCCCCCCTCCCCCCCCCCCAGCATCAGCTCCTGTCCACCGGCCCCGCGACACAGGCGCTGAGCATCCCCAGCTGCGGGTCAAGTGTGGGGGCTATGGGGCTGGGGCTGCTGATCTGGGTGCGTGGGGCTGGGGGGCTGAGGAGCAGGGAGTATGGTGTGGGGGGACTGGGGAGCGGGGAGTATGGAGGGGGGGGAGGCTGGGGGGACCTTGGGATGGGGACCAAGGGTCTGGGAGCCCCAGGGCTGTAGGGTTGTGGGACATGGACCAGGGGCTGGGGGGGCTGCAGGGCGGTGATGTGAGGACCGGGAGACTGGGGGCCATGGAGCTGAGGCCCCCAGCACCACCCCCCAGCCCCATGCCGTGTGGCGCTAGGAAGCCGCAGACTCGCTGCTTCCTGCTGCATCAGCTACTGGATTTCCTGCAGGTCCTCGAGCCTCGGCTGCCCCAGCACCCCAGTCCCTTTGCTCCCCCATACCCAGGGGCCAGGCCTTGGCTCCCCAGCACCAGGAACTGGAGCAGGACCCTCCAGTGCTTTTGGGCAGGATTACCATGGAGCATTGCCGTGGTTGGGGGGGAATCCATGGCTGTGGGGCACAGCCTGGCCGTGGGGCTCGTTCTATCTGTGGAGCACAGCCTGGGGTATGGGCAAAGCTGGGCCACGGGGCATTGCCGTGGGGACACAGCCTGGCCGTGGGGCATAACGCTGCCCAATGAGTCCCGGGTCCCTGCTGCCACCCATGGCACCACTCCGCCCCATTCCACCACAGCCCATGGCCTGACTCCCACTGCCGTGCCCTGCAGATGGCGAGAGCCCGGCTGTAGTGCCCGGGCGTCCCGAGCGGGGTGAGGATGTTGGCAGGGCGGTGGCGGCTGGAGGGGCGGCGGTGGCGGCGCGCCGAGCCAGCCGTGGTGCTCCGCGCCCTCTACGACTACACATACCGTGCGGAGGACGGGCGGCATGTGGCCATGTCTGCTGGCGAGCAGTTCCTGCTGCTCCACAAAGCCAACGAGGACTGGTGGCAGGTGAGACGGGCCAGCGAGCCGCGCTGGGCTCGGCCCTTCTTCGTGCCTGCTACCTATGTGGCCGAGCTGGAGCCTAGTGACACTGAGAGATGGAGCACGCTACTCCCCAGCCAGCCCGCGGGCACAGGTGAGCAGGGCAGGGGGCACAGGGGGGCAGGACACTGGGAGAATGGAGCTGTGTGGCACTGAGGTAGGGGCAAAGGGTTGGGGGGCATAGGATGACGGGGCATACCACCGGGAGCCCTGGGCTGTGGATCTGGGTGCACAAGGCCGGGGAAAGATCGGGACTGCAGGGCTGGGGGCACTACGGGCACAGGATATGGGGGCACTGGGGGGGGACAGGGCTGGAGGACCCTTTTTGCTGGGAGACACCCATGAGGGACAATGGGGGCCAAAGGGCTGGGAGCGCAGGAGGTGGAAGGAGCACAGGGCTGCAGGCACTGGGAGACACTGGGGACTTGGGTCTGGGGGCACGGGGGGGGACTGGTGGCAGGGGAACACTGTGGAGAACAAAGTTTTGGCCCAGGGGTGGGAGTCTCTGCCCCCCCACCTGCAACCCAGAGTGTCATTTTGGGTTGGCGGGTACCCTCCTCGCTTCCCCCCTCCAGGCCGGCCGCTGCAGTACTGCTCGCTGGAAGACCTGTGTGGCCCACCCCCAGCCCCCCCTGAGGGGGCCAGGCTGACCCCCCACACGCCCTGGGCCGCTGTATCAGCACCAGCCAGTTGGCAGAGGGGGCCTTGCCGCGGTGCCAGTCCCAGCAGGAGCCACTGGCCCCAGGGACTGGGGTGAGTGGTGGCCCCCAGAGGACACCCTGTGCCCCCAGCCCCGTTCCCCTCTGAGCCCCTCGCTGGTGCTTCCCACCCCTGCACACCCCCCAGCCCAGCACCCTCCTTCCCTCAACCGACATCTCCAACCTGCGTCCCCTCCCTGCACCCCTGCATCCCCCCCTCTACCCTCTTTGCCCCCAACCTCGCCCACTTGCACCCCCCCCTGCATCGCTTGCCTGCAACCCCTGCACCCCCCAACCTCGTGCCCATGCACCACCAACCTGCACCCTCCCAACTTCGCCCGCCTGCGTGGCCCATCTGCACTCCCCAACCTCACCCTCCTGCATACCCCCCACCTCGCCCCCTGCATCGTCCACCTGCATCCCAACTTCTCCTCTGCATCACCCACCTGCACCCTCCACCTCGCTCCCCCCTGCATCACTCCCCGGTACTCCCAACTGTACCCCCGCTGCTTTTGCCTCCCGGCACCCCCAACCTCGCACACCGGCTCCGCTCTCTCTGCACCCCCATGCACCCCAACACCCTCCAACCACGCCCTCGTGCCGCTGCTTCCTCATCGCCGTGGGGCAGCGGAAGAAGTGGGGGGGGGGGGGGGGGGGCAGTGGAGTCGGAGGGGGCTGGGGGCGGCCAGTGCTGCGCGACTGCGGGCGGTAGGTGGGAGCAGGGCACCAGACCCCGGGGAGCACTGGGGGGGGGGGGGGGGGGGGGGGGGGGGGAGGGCGCTGCGGCTGCTGGAGGGGCCGGTGGGTGGGACACAGAGTGGCAAACAGCTCCGGGGAAGCGATTGCAAAACCCTGATCCGGGCTCGGCAGAGCAGGGGATCACTGCTGCGGGGGCAGGGGGGGGCCCACAGGGCAAGGGGGCACTGCTGGGGGGCCTGGGGATCACTGCTGGGGGGGCCAGGGGTGCATCCGAGGGTGGCCTGGAGGGCCCAGCGTGGGGCTGGGTTGTGTCCACATGCCTCCACCCCAGTTTAGGATCTGTTCCCCCAGTCGCCCCCCCCGGGAGCTGCCATGATCTACTGCAACCTGGAGGAGCTGCAGCGGGCAGGGGGCCAGGCTGAGCCCCCACTGCCGGCTGGGCCCCCCCTGCAGGTTTTGGGGACCTGGGAGCGTCACCTGGACCCCACCACTGGTCGCTGCTTCTTCTACAACCCCCAGACAGGCACGAGCTCCTGGAAACCCCCTCGGCGGCAGCGGGAGGCGGTAGTCATGGAGGTCAGCAGCGGGGGGTACCGGGGCCCTGCCAGCTGGGTCTACACCCCCCCATCTCTCCCTGCCCCCCATGTCCCCACGCTTCCCCACCAGCATTCATCCCACTGTCCCCCATACTCCCCATGCCCCGCCATGCCAATGCCCGTGCATTGTGCTCCCCAATGTCCACCTCATCCTCCTCATGCCTCCCCAGGGGCCCCCATGACTCCTCAATTCTCCCAAATTATCCCCCCAATATCTTCCCTCCCACAGCCTCCCTGTGGCCCCACCACTGCCCCCTCTGACTCCTCCCGTGCCCTCCAGGTCCCTCTCACTGCCCCCCCCTTGACTCTGGCACAGCCCTGATGGCAATTAGTGCCAGTGCTAATTGCTGGGTGGGGCCCAGTCCTGGAGGTCCTGGCCATGCTGTCCCCTGATACTGACCCCCGGCCCCTGTCTCCCCTATAGGGCCTGCCCCCCTCTGCCGACACCCCCCGGACCATGAGACACTGGAGCTTCAGGGGTGCTGGGGACCCCGGTGACACCGTGAGCTGGGAGACGGCGGCGGGAGGGGGCCGGAGAGGAGGAAGGATAGGGGGGCACTGGGTGGTGTGAGAGGGGGGCAAGGCATGTCTGGATAACAGGGGGCATGGGGAAGGGGATGGGGGAGCACCAGGGAGGGCCCTGGCTGTGCCCCCCCACACTGTCCCCCAACAGCAGCTGAGCCACAGCCAGACCCTCGCCCACCACAGCCCAGAGGACCGGGCAGCTGCCCCCCAGCCCTCCCTGGCCCCCGCTAAGGCCCCTGCCCTGCACCCCTGCCCTGCCCACTGTGAGTTACTCTGGGGTCAAGGGGTGCTGGGGATGTCGGGGGTGCTGGGGGGGACGGGGGCAGCACTGTCCCTTGTCCTCGCAGGAGGTGCAGAAGGCCGGGCAGCTCAACAGGACCAAGATCGCTGAGGGGGGCAGGAAGCTCAGGTGGGGGCTGGGGTCACGGGGGGTGGGGGGGTCCTGGTGCAGGGGGCTGTGTCAGGCTGGGGTCCCTGGGCGGGGGGGGCTCCTGGTGCAGAGGACTGTGCCAGACTGGAGTTCCCAGGGGTGAGGAGGGTGTCCTGGTGCAGGGAGCTGTGCCAGACTGGGATCCCCGGGGGTGGGGGGGTTCTGGTGAAGGGGGCTGTGCAAGTTTGGAGTCCCAGCAGGGGCTGTGCCAGGCTTGGGGAGGTCCGCACTGAAGCAGGGGGTCTCTGCCTCTCTGGGGTCCATGCCAGGCTTGAGACAGGGGTCCCCACTTGAGCAGGGGGTTTCTGCAAAGCTCAGGGGGCCATGCCAGCCTGTAGGGTGGGAGTTTATGCTAGCGGGGCTGTGCCAGCTGGGGACAGGAATTGCAGCCGGGGGGGGCCATGCCAGCCTGGCCCATGGCTCTTCACAGCTGAGGGGCTCCAGACAAGCCATGTCCCTGGCCAACAAAGACGCTTTTGGATGTGCCAGGCTGGGGGCGAAGGGGCAGATCTGGGGTGCTGCCAGTGCCCAGATGGTGTCCAGGGCCTGCGCGGGGCTCTGTTGGGGTGGGGGCACCCAAACCTGCCCCCAGCCTTGGCTGGGGAGGGGTTGGGGGTGCTCCTCACCTGCTGCCCCCAGGAAGAGCTGGGGGGTCTCCTGGGTGGTGCTGGCCGGGAACAGCCTCATCTTCTACAAGGAACCCAAGGGGCTGGAACCCACTGCCTGGGTGAGTGGGGGGCATGGGGGTGGGCTGGGACAGTGAGGGACTGCTGGAGCATCGCGAGGTATGGGCGGGACAGTGGGGACAGCCGGGGGAGAGAACAGTGGAGGAATATGGGGTGCTGTGGAGAAACAAGGGGGACAGGGCACCCGTGATGCCCAGTGCCCCCACAGTGCCCTGCCACTAGCCGCCCTGAGAGCAGCGTGGACTTGCGGGGGGCTGTCCTGGATTGGGCCCGTGACCTCTCCAGCAAGAAAAATGTCATTCACGTGAGTGGGGTGGGACCCCGGGCTGGGGGTGTGGGGATGCCTAAAGTGTACAACCCTGGGGGCTCCAAAACCATCAGTGCATCACAGGGATCCCCCTAAATGCAGCCTGCGGAGAAGGGGACCCCACAGCCCAGTGTGTACAGGAACCCCCAAAACAGGACAAAGAGGTGTCATTCTAACAGTCCCCTGGGGCATGGAGGGATGTGGCGTAGGGACCCCCCCTTAGCTTAGGGGCACCCCTTCCGCCCCCCACTGCGGGGGGAGCAGGGCACCCCTGCAGTGCCTGGGTCCCCATGGTCCCTGTGGGGGTCCCTGGAGGTCCGTGCCACCCCCCCCATCCTGCTGCCCCCTGCTGCCAGCTCCGCACTGTGACGGGTAACGAGTTCCTGCTGCAGTCGGACCAAGAGGCCACCATCCAGGAGTGGGCTCGGGCCATCTGTGGGGTCATCCGCTGGCTGGTGAGTGCCCGGGAGGAGCCGGGGTTGCCCCCCAGCTGCCCCCGGCCCCCTCAGCGTCCCCAGACTGTCCCTGTCCACCCCCCCCAGGACCTGGAGAACCCTGTGGACGCGCCCGTGGGGTGGCTGCGCCGGGGGGATGTCGAGGACCTGGAGAAGCTCAGCAGGGACGAGGATGAGGTGCCATGGGTCACGGAGGGGGCTGGGGATCCAGGTAGGGTTGGGGGGCAGCCGGGGGGGAGCTGGCCTCGGGGCTTCGTGAGGGTGATGGCACCCCAGGCCTGCCGTGTCCCCAGGGGCTGCCCGTGCCCCCGACCCCTCGGAGAAGAAGCGGGTGAAGAGCAAGCTGAGGCGCTTCATCGTCAAGCGGCCCCCGCTCCAGAGCCTGCAGGAGAAGGGGCTCATTCGAGGTGAGGGTCCCGGCTGTGGGACCTCCCCTCAAGTCCCACCACCCTCTTGGGGCCCCCCCAAACCTCCCCACATCCTCCCTCTGCCCCAGAGCGGGAGAGGAAGAGGGTGCCTGAGTGCTCCGTCGAGCCCAGGGGGTCCCTGCGCCCCATCCCCTCCAGTGTTCCTGCCCCCAGGCCCTGCGCTCCCACTGGTCCCAGTGTCCCTCCCGGGTCCCAGTATCTGTTCTTCTCCCCCAGTCCCAGAACCCCCTCCTGCAGTCCCCATGCTCCCAGTGGTCCCATTGCCTCCCAGTCCAGCATCATCCCTTCCTGGTCCAAGTATCTGTCCTTCCCCCTGTTTCCCAGTCCCAGAATCCCCTTCCTCAGTTCCTGTGCACCCACTGGTCCCAACGTCCCTCCCGGTCCCAGTTTCTGTCCTTCCCACCATCCCCCAGACCTGGAATCCCCTCCCTCAGTCCCTGTGTTCCCACTGGTCCCAGTGTGTCTCCCAGTCCAGCGTCCCTTCATAGTCCCAGTATCTGTCCTTCCCCCCTGTTCCCCAGTCCCAGAACCCCCTCTTTCAGTCCCGTGCTCCCACTGGTACCAGTGTCCCTACTGGCACCAGTATCTGTCCTTTCACCCAGTCCCCGAATCCCCTCCCCCAGTCCCTGGGCCTCCCAGTCCAGCATCATCCCTTCCTGGTCCCAGGATCTGTCCTTCCCCCTGTTTCCCAGTCCCAGAATCCCCTCCCTCGGTCCAAGTGCTCCCACCGGTCTCAGTGCCTCCCAGTCCAGCACCCCTTCCTGGTCCCAGTGGCCTCTCTCGGTCCCGATGTCCCCCATGCCCCCGCCGCTGCACCCCCAGTCACTCCCCAGTATTCCCCCCCCACTCTCTGGGCCCTCCCCACTGCCGGTTGCCCCCGCCACGTCCCGGTGCTTCCCCATCCCAGTTTCCCCCGCTGCCGTCTCCCAGACCAGGTGTTCGGGTGCCGCCTGGATGCCCTGTGCCAGCGGGAGAGCACCACGGTGCCACGATTCGTCCGGCTCTGCGTGGAGGCCATCGAGGAGCGAGGTGGGGTCCTGCGGGCCAGCGGGTACCCCCCCAGCCCCGACCTCCCCCACCACGGCTCCTTGTCCCCAGGCCTTGACGTCGACGGGATCTACCGGGTCAACGGGAACCTGTCCGTGATCCAGAAGCTGCGTTTCGCCGTGGACCGGGGTGAGGGGCCTGGGGCAGGCACGGGCTGGGGATGCTGGCGAGAAGATGGGACCGGGCGGGGAGCATGTGCCTGGGAGGGGGGGAAGGTGGCTTCTCCCCCTGCGACGCCTCCTGCGTCCCTGCAGAGCGAGCTGTGACCTCGGACGGGCGCTACGTCTTCCCTGAGCGGCTGTGCCAAGGTCAGCCGGGGTAGCCGGGCAGGGGGTGGCCCCGGGGTGGCCCCGGCACCAGCTGACCCCCCCCTCGTTGCTGCCAGAGGAGCGGCTTAGCCTGGCAGAGCCCGAGTGGAGCGATGTCCACGTGCTGACCGGAGCCCTCAAGCTCTTCCTCCGGGAGCTGCCCGAGCCCCTGGTGCCGCACAGGCTCTTCCAGCCCTTCATCGAAGCCATCAGTAAGTGCGTGGCTGCAGTGCACCCCAGGGCACCCCCAGGCTGCGGGAGCCAGAGGGGGGCCTCTGCGGCTGACTGCTGCGGCTCCCCCCAGAGCTGCCAGACCCCCAGGAGCAGGTGGAGAGGGTGGCTGAGCTGGTGCAGAGCCTGCCCCTGCCAACTATGCCACCCTGCGCTACCTCCTGGCTCACCTCTGCCGGTAAGGGGAGGGTGCTGCCAGGCGGGGGGTGTCTGGGGGTCTTGGGGGGATGCCCCACAGCTGGATGGGCCATGAGGTGCCCAGGGGTGGCTGGGGCGGGGTGTCAGGTGGAGCTGGTACAGCAGGGGAGGCGGGGGGAGGATTGGGGCTTGGCAGGGTGATGGAGCCCTGGCACATGGAGCCTCTGGGTGATTCAGGGGGGACCGGGGCTGGATGAGGGATATGGGACCACTCCCCACCCTGCCAACCCCAGGGTGATGGAGCGGGGAGATGTCAACCGCATGACACGCCAGAACATCGGCATCGTGTTTGGGCCAACGCTGCTGCGGCCGGAGCGGGAGCCGGGCAGCCTGGCAGCGGGCATGGCCCAGCAGAACCAGGCCGTGGAGCTGCTGCTGGCACACTTTGAGCGCATCTTCCCCGCCCTCCCCTGAGCCTGGCCCCCCGCCCCCCAGCTCAGGTAGGGCTGCTCTGCCAGCCCTTGCCCCTTCCCACCCCCTCCCCCGGCCTCCCTGCCCCATGTACCCCCCACCCTGCAGTAAAGAGACGCTGTCCCCGGGACCGCCAGCCCCTGCTGCGCTGCCCTGGGTGAGGGGTCTGCGCCTCCAAGAGCCTCTCCCTGCCTCCCCGAGAGCGTCGACCTCCAGGCAGCCCCCCCTGCACCCTTCCCCCTGCCTTCCACCATGCCTCACACGCCTCCCCAGGGCCAGCACAGCTCATCTAGTTCCACCAGTCACTAAACACGTATCCGTGGCCCTCAGCCCTCTGCCCCGGGAAGGGCCCCCAGCTCTGCTGACACTGCCAGTGCCAGGACAGGACCTGGCCATACCGGGGCTGGGGATCTCTCTGGGGGTGCCCCGGTGTGCCTGCACCCCCCCCGCAGCCGCCACCAGCCCCTGCAGCTCCCAGGGTGGCCGGCCCCGCTGGGACTCCTGCCCCAGGACGCAATGGGCAGCGGGTATGGGGGCTGTCACAGTGCCCTGGCACCAGCACCGTCCCCCTGGGGCTCCCAGTGGCCCCCAGACCCTCCCTGTTCCCCCCAGTTCCCGTGCCAGTGTGCTGCCAGGACCCGGTGCCACCGCCCAATGCTTCTGCATTCTCCCAGTGCCCTCTCAGCTCCCTCGTGCCCTCAGGCTCACCAGTTGCACCAGCCGCTCCCAGTTCCCTGGCACCGGTTCCCTAGATCTGCTCTTGGCCCTGGACGGGCAGGAGATGGTGGGCAGGCAGGGTCCTGAGAACTCCGGGCAGAAGTGGGGGGAACACAGGGCCCTGGGGGACACAGCCAGATCCCTGGGGACTCCCAGGGGGCCCCCAGCCCTGCTTTGGGCAGGGACTGATCCAGAGGCTCCTTGGGGGCTGAGAGGCACCCACAGGTGCCAGGGGGGGTGGGGGGGCGGCAGGGAAGCCCGGCTCCCAGCAGTGGCTGGTGCCTGTGCCGTACAGCTTCGCCACCCCCCAGGCACCCTGGGGCCAGGGTCCCGTCCCGGGCTGGGGGTGGTCCCAGAGGGTGGAGGGGTCCCCAGAGCCACGCAGGTGGGTGCTGTGGGAGCTGGGATGGGAGCAGCGGTTCTGTCAGCCAGAAGAGTGGTTGGGCTGCTTGCCGGGGGGAGATGGGCTCCGCGGTGCTGGGTGGGGGGCCCAGGGGAGGAGGCTTTTTAGGGACTGGGGTGCCTCATGCTGCAAGGCTCAGGCAGAGTCAGAGTGATGGAAGTGGGGGCCGGCAGTGATGGCTGCGGGGAGCGACAGGGGCTCTCCGCTCCGGGTGTGTGGATGGTGTCAGGGCTGGCAGGTTTTCCCCGTGCCAGGCACAGGGGAAGCATCGCCCCGGCCCCTGCCTGCAATGGGGCAGTGGCTCAGGGTCCCCCCGGACCCCCACGCAGCTCCCGTAGCCCTGCACCCCCCGGCAGAGCTGGCTGGGCAAGGGGTTCCCCGTGCCCCTTCCTCCCAGCCCTGGGCGCGGAGAGCAGGGGCTGCGCAGGGGAGCTTGGGGTGCTGGAGGGGCACAGCCTGGCTTGGCCCGTTCTCGGCACATCCCTGGGAGATGGAGCCGCAGAAGTGACCGGGGGTCTGCGGCGGTGATGGTGGTGGTGGGCAGGCAGCCCTGCACCCAGCACCCACAGCCCTGGGCACCCCCCGCCACCTCTTCCCCCTGCGGCCCTCACCCTCATCCTGGGAAGGAGCACCCCAGAACCCCTCGGGTGACAAAGGGCACGGGTAGAGCTCAGCTCCTGCACCCAGCCCTCGCCTGCACCAGGCTCCCCAGCTGCAGGCGACAAAATGCCCCAGGGCAGCGCCCCCCCACCCTCCTGGGGTCACCCCTGGGGTCAGGGGGTGCAGCAGAGTCCCCTCGGCCCCCCAGGGACGCTGACCTGGGGGTGAAGACGGCCGCAGACACCGAGTGCAGCAAAGGGGTGGGAAAGAAGTGGGGAGCCCCTCTGGCACCCGCTACCCCCCAGGACATGCCAGGACACACGTGCCAATGTGTCCTTGTGCCCCGCGCACACGTGCCTGTGCACACGCCGCCCGCCCGGCGTAAGCACTGGCCCAGGTGTGCGCACACACGTGCACGGCCACGCTGCTTGGTACAGGCATGCGTGTGCACACATGGCCCCTCTCCTGCTGCCTTGTCCACACACACCCCCTTGCACAAGCAGTCTTGCACACACACACCTGTGTGCACATCCCTTTCACACACACACTTGCAGACATGCACCCTTGCACACACACCCATCCTTGCACATGCACCCCCTTACACACAAATACTCTTTCACACATGCCCCCCTTGCACACACACACTCTTGCACACGTGCCCCCTTGCACTCACGCACTCTTTCACACACACACACACCCTTGCACAAACACTCTTGCACACATACACACACCCTTGCACACAAATGCTCTTACACACATACCCCTTCCATACATGCATGCTTGCACATGCATCCCCTTGCACACAAATGCTCTTGCACACACACCCCCTTCCACACATGCATGCTTGCACATGCATCCCCTTGCACACAAATGCTCTTGCACACACACACCCTTGCACACACGCATCCTTGCACACACGCATCCCCTTGCACACAAATGCTCTTGCACTCATGCATCCCCTTGCACATACACACTCTTGCACACACGCACCCTCTGGCGCACACACTTCCTTGCACACACGCACTCTTGCACACGTACCCTTGCACTCACACACTCCTGCAGGCATGGACCCTCACACACACACACTCCTGCACACACGCACCCTTGCACACACACCCCCTTGCACACATACCCCGCCTTGCACAAGCGCCTGCAGTTGCCACAGGCCCCAAAGATGAGTTCCCTGGAAGCCCAGCTTCTCCCCCCATCACCCACAGAGCTGTTTTGGAGAGGAGGCCGCCCCCCTGCAGTCAGGGTGGGCTCTGTGTGCGGGGGAGGCGTGATGCCGCCCCACCGATCCCCAGTGCATAACCATCCCACGCATGCTCTGCTACGCACGGGGACCCTGTCACGTGCGACGTGGGGGTCCCAGGGGTCTCACACTGCAACGTGAACAGAACAGGACCGGGGGGGTCGAGGCCCCTGAGCGGCAGGGACCCTCTGAGAGCGGGCTGCTGGGGGCAGGCACGGCGCCAGCGCACCCCAGTCCCTCGGGACGTGGGTGCTGTGAGCTCTGCAGGCAGCTGAGCACTGCACAGCCCTCTGCTTACAGCCCCTCTCCAGCATGGTGGGGAGAGAGCTGGGAGGGTGAAAGTGCAGGGGTGCATGAGGTGAGTAAAGAGAGTTTAGCAAAAAAAAAAAGTAAAAAAAAAAAAAAAAAAAACGTGAAAAAAAAACAAGTGAGGCAGAAAAATAAAGAAATAATTGCTCATCACCAGCCAACCAACGGCCGGTCAGCCCGCGAGCAGCGGCGGTCCCAGCAAACAACGGCCGTGACGTGCTCAGCGTGCAGACACACTGCACCTTGCCCAGGTCCCCCCCACGCACGACCGTGGGCGCCCGGTGCCCACCTGGAAACGGGCGGGGCACCAGCTCACAGACCGCGTGCTGCGCTCGGTCCCGCCGGCGGCGCTGGCGTCCTCGGGAGCGGCTGGGGAGCCGGGACTCGCCGGGGGGGCGCGGGGCCAGCTCGGGGGGACCGCGAGGAAAGCGGGCGTACAGGGGGCACAGGCGACCCCAGACCCACGGAGCGCGCCCCACCAGCGGCACCCCCACGGGCAGCAACCTGTAGCCTCTCCCCGTGCCGCGGCCCGTGAGCACCCTCCGTGGGCGCCCACCCGTGTGCCCCCCCCCGTATCCAACCAGTTGGTATCTCACCCGGGCCTCCCCCGCCCTCTCCCCGCGTCTCCAGGCCCGCCCTCGCAGGCCCCGCCCCCGCGCCCTCCTTCACCCGCCCACCCCGCGCGCGGCTCTCGCGAGATCGAGGCCGGCGGCCCCGCCCCTGCCCCCCTTTTCCCGGCCCACGGCACCGACCCCGCCCCGCCCCGGTACCGACCCCCGGCCATGGCCGACCCCAAGTACGCCGACCTGCCCGGCATCGTGAGTGCGGGGGCGGGACGGAGGGGGCCGGGGGGTCTGAGGGGCTCGGGGGGGCCCTGAGGATGAGGGGTCGGGGGGGCCCGTGAGGTGTCTGAGGGGTCGGGGGGGCCCTGAGGATGAGGGGTCGGGGGGGCCATGAGGTGTCTGAGGGGTCGGGGGGGGCCCGTGAGGTGTCTGAGGGGATCGGGGGGCCGAGAGGAGAACGGGGGGGTCCGGCGGGGCGGGGCGGGACTGAGGTGGTCTGAGGGGATGGGGGGATCTGTGGGGCCTGAGGAGATCGGGGGGGTCTGAGGGGAACCGTGGGGATCGGCGTGGGGACTGGCGGGGTGGGAGGGGTTTGGGGGGTCTAAGGGGATCCGGGGCCTTGGGTCAGGAAACGGGGCATCTGGGGAGACTGTGGGTGTGGGAGGGGGCTGCCAGGGGGATTGGAGGCGTTTGGGGTGTCGGAGGGGATCTGAGGAGGCTCGGGGTGTAAGTGGTGTGTTTGAGGAGCTGGGGGGTGCCGGGGACTGCCGGGGGGAGGGGGAAAGGGCATCTTGGGGGGGTTGGGAGTAGCTGGGGCGTTTGGAGTTGTCAGGGGGAACGAGAGCAGTAAGTGGGGTGTCTGGGGACATCGGGGAGTCCGGAAGGTACATTGGGTCTTTGGGGAGAGGGGGGGTGTCTGGGGTGAGGGGGCGTCTGCAGCCGTTTGGGGCAGCTGTGGGGTATTTGATCATAAATGGAAAATAAATCAGCCGAGGCAAGCCGGGGGTTTCACTGTTTGTGCCCCAGGCCAGGAACGAACCTGACGTCTACGAGACCAGCGATGTCTCCGAGGACGACCAGGCGGAGTTCGAGGCGGTAAGGCCTGGCCGGGGCCGTGCCGCGGGGTGGGGGGGAGCGACTGCTCGTGCCCCCGTCCCACAGCCAGACTGGCACCGTGGCAGGGAAATGGCTCCTGTCCCCGCTCGCGCCCCTGTGCTGCCGCGTCCCCCCCG